TTTTGCCCGTGATTGACTCACAATTTTTTTTTTGCGTTAAAATAAGTCCAAAAGCAAAGTCTGCCTGGTAAGTTAGTAATATGTATATATATGTATGTATATATATATATATATGTATATGCATATATATATATATACATATATGTATATATATATATATATATATATGTATGTATATATATATATGTATATATATATATGCATATATATAATAAACACTCACACCTGTCACCCAGAGGGGTAGGTACGGACTTCCATTTGGCACGATCCTGACATACCTCTTTCGCCTCCTTTACATCCATATATCTACGCATACATGCTCGTCGGTTAAGGGTACTTCTAACGTGGCCCCTTTTCAAAATATGGCCAATTTGGTCGATAAACTTTTTTCTAGGGCGTCCCTTCCCGACTCGGCCGTTCACATCTGCCATATAAATTTGCTTTGTCACTCTTTACTCATTCATTCTTTCTACATGACCAAACCACCGAAGCATTCCTCACAACATCATCTTGCATACCACATTTATCTCTTATCACGCAATTTCTCACCCTGTCATTCAGATTCAACCCTAGCATACTTCTTAAAGACCGCATTTCTACAGCATTTATTCTACTTTCGTGCTTCTTCTGCCACACCTAGCTTTCACTACCATACATTAAAGTAGGGACTAACAGAGCATTATAAATTACCATACGTGCCTTTTTCGACACATTCTGGTTCTTTATAATAGAGTGTAGTGCCCCATTCACTCTATTCCCTGCCTTCCTTATATATATATATATATATATATTATTTTAATATGATACTTGTTTATTATATTTACGTGGTAAAGCCATGCTGCAGTTATATTAGCAATATAACTGTAGCATGAATGACTGCCTCGTTGGTCTCGTGGATGTAGTAGTGCAATTGCTGGTCATGAGGTCCTGGGTTTGAATCCCGGGTCTGGACAAAAACCCAATTATAAGTTTTGCCGTCAAGAAATTCTCAGTAGCTGCCCCAGAATTGACGTGTTCACCCCCGTGATACCTCTCCGGTCGTGTCGGTTTACCGTCCCATTTGATTATCCCGTACTACGCCGATGGCTAGTATGCTTTCAGGCTGGCCGCCGTGACCGCAATTCGGTCTGGAGAACATTATTATTTTGTAGCACGAATGGGTCGACTCGATCGGGGGTGGACCACGCTCTCACAGAATACCAGCGTTAATTACTAGCTTAATGCTGCTGTATTTCGTATGGTGAGTGTAAAGATCCGGAGACCCTTTTTATTAAAAACGAGGCATTCCATCTTAGCCCCAGGGGTGACAACGCATTTGCATTTTGATCATTAGTTGAGGATAAATGCGGATGTCTGTGGGCCACAGCATCCATTTACCATCAGCTGGACTGTGTGCTCGTTTGTCACCCTATCCTATAAAACAATACAAACAGGTAAAATGTTGTGATGTATAGCTACCAAGCGTGCCGAATAATTAAATTGTAAGATTTTTTTAAATATCTGTTAAAAGTGAAACGATCTCCTTGAATTACGAAGTAAAGTACTCGTAACAGTCTATATATGCTTCCCATAATTGAACAAAGAAGTCTGCACATTTCTGTAAGGGATTCTTTTGGTGTACGGATTGCGGATGCGTGATTTATTAAAAAAAGTAGGTATATTAGAAGAATTGGTATGGGGTGACAAATAAGCACACAGCCCACCTGATGGTAAGTGGGTGCTATGGCCCATAGACATTTATATTTATCTTCATTAAGAATCATAATGCAGGGTGTCAGGTTCTCTACACTCACCATACGAAACACATCAGCATTAACCTGCTGTGTAACACTAATATTCGGTGAGAGCGTGGACGTTCCCCGGTCGAGCCGACGCATTCATGATTCAACCATAAAATAGAATTGATATGTGGGGGAGCCACCACGTATCAATTCCTGTCATTATACCTACTCTTAATTTTAAATGTTCATTTTTATATCAATTACTTAAAATTTTGACTTTTATTTTGAAACACTCGTGATAATAGCATTATTTTTTTATTACAAAATATTTGATGTTTTTTTTTAAATACTAATCTGGTTCATACTTATTTAATAAATACTAGTTGTAATTAACTATTAAAAATCGTTCGGTTACTGAATTTATATGCAAACTTTAATTTGAATTTTTTTTTTAATTTTCATTAGATAGAAGAAAAAATGTATTTCCTGTTGAATGAATTTTCTAACGTAACTTATTTAGTTGAAATTGTTACAATGATGTTTCTAGTAACCTAGCTAAAAAAATCTCAAAAGCAGACCATATCACTGTAAATGGTTATCATACATAGCAAGTACAATTAGATTGCATCAGATAAAATTGTACGCTAAACGCGTACAATTTTACGCGTTATTTTAAAGTTACGGGTGGATGCAAAATTAACAAGAGCGGGTAGGAGACTAAGAATGCAGCGCGCAGTGCAAGGCAACAGTAGTAAGACAAACGTGCTAATGGAAAAGTTATTAACATATTTGCATTTGATAATATAATACAGCTTTAAGTGAAATAGTAATGTTGTGTTGTTTGGTGTTTTGTTATGCGAATGGTAGTCGTGGAGCAAGTACTAACCGTAAGTAATCTTTCTTTAATTAAAAAGGTAGCCATTTTGTACTGTTTAAAATACTTCACAAAATTTAATCATTAATTTGTTGCTCGCATTTTGTTACATTTTTTCGTTGATTATTTTATATTTACATTTCGTAGATAATTTATTATGATTCCTAATTTCGTAATTAAGCAGCTCGTTTGGAATACTACAGAAGCCGTAGGTATTTGCGTAGCAAGTAAGACAACGCCACGGCCCAAAGACTTTGTTAATTTTTAATTATAAGCCGAGTTCAAAAGAAGGAGGTTCTCAATTCAAATGTTAAAATTTTTTTATATATGTTGGGGCATAACTCCGTCATATATAGACGGATTAAAAATTCTTTTTGTTCGAATGTGGTTTATTCCAAAATGGTCCCATTTAAATTTCGTGAAGATCAGATGATGAGTTTCAGAAACGCAAAACGGAACTCTTCAATAAATGGCCAGCAAATCAGTCGCAATTACTTTTATCGAATCATTATTATTCTTATTTCTCAGACATGCAGGTTTCCTCACGATGTTTTCCTTTACCGCAGAGCACGTGGTGAATAAGCTTAAACTTATTGCAATTAATAATTTACATAATTGGTGCCGGTGGGAATCGAATCCAGGTTGCTCGGGCACTGTGAATTTCTGAAAATCTGGCTCCATATATTTTATTAATTCAATATAAATAAATATACGGCTTTATTTACTTCCTTGGCCTATTGTAGATAACATTATATATTTTAAGACATATTTTAAAATGCGTCGAAGCTTACGCACAATTTTCTTATGGGGCGATTGACTGGATACTTACTGAAAGTACTCTGTAAATATTAAAAAAAATGTAAACATCCGTATTGAGAACCTCCTTGTTTGAAGCCGGTTAAAAATAAATAAAAATAGATTGTTGCAAACAACCCCTTACCATAAGGTGTTTGAATTTGTATAGAAAAATTAATCAACATATTCTTTTAACTTCCCAGTGGGAAGTTATTGTAATGGGTCCGATTTTGCAAATTGAAAATTTAACATAATATCTCCACATTTCAAGGTCTTTAGAGTCGAATAGTATGGTTTTTAGGAGGATGTTCGTGTGTGCACATGTACGTACGTATGTATGTATGTATGTTCGGATTAATTTTCACCTCGTGTATCTTGAGAACAAAGAGTGATATTGACATGGGACCAGTTTCATTTAACGCATAATTATTTAACTTAGACCTCATTAAATTTTGAGCAAAATCGCTCAAGTCGTTTTTGTACCGAATGAAAAATTATATAAAATATTAAAACATATGATATTTTTTTATTGTTTCCACTGAGAAGTTAGTCGTGTGGACCTTCCGGGTCGCACCTGGACCGCTTTTTTATTCAATTAGAAAATAGATGCAAATACTGTTGGATTAAAATAATAAAATTAATATTTATTAATTTTTTCATAATTTGCTTAGGCTTAAAACGCGAGTGCAAGTTTATTTATAGGTGTTACTATGGTAGTTATGTAGATAGATATACATGACTGCAGCACAAATGGGTCGGCTAGACCAGGGTAGGAACACGCTGTCACGGTATACCAGCAGAATAGTGCTGCTGTGCTTCGTATGGTTAGTGTGTAGAACGGCAGAGCCTTTTCACTGGAAACGAATAATCAATCTTGCTCATAAGGTGTGACAACGCGTCTGCATTTCGATTCTTAATCGATGCTATACCCGTATGTTGATGTTTATTGACCATAGTATCCACTTACCCTCAAGTGGACTAAATGCCCGTTTGTCACATTAAATTTTTATTTATGTACCTGACGTTTCAAGTACTTCATAGCACCCATGGTGGCGGGTCACTAGGGTGTTCTACGTCGTAATGTCATAGCGAGTTTAAATGTATTATTTATTTACTGATGTAAACATATATAGCGCTGGGTCAGACCAACTGCTGGCGTGGTGATGCGTTGCCAAGTCATATGTTGTAAAACCGTCAGAGGCAAAATGAAATACAACTATTACAGAAGTCACTGATCAAAATAATTGAGTTGTCGTAAATAAAAAAATGTTGAATTTTTAATTTTTGTATTAAATGAATATAAATGTTTATTAAGTAAACAGTCACCTTATTCTTGAAAAGATTTTTAATACCTACTGCATTTTTCGTTATGTCATATTTATTTCCTGTCGTAAACTATCTTTTTACGTATATTACCTGTACAAAATAATTTCGAAATGTCACATCAGCCAGGCGTCACGCGTCGGTTTTTGTTATTTATTTACACTTTACTGTAGACCTTAATAAAAGTATTACAAATGGCGGACTTAATGCCCTTTGGCATTCTCTCCCAGTCAACCAAATGATTTAAAGAAAAAAGTTCAAATGTACCCCATTACATCCCAATTGCAATGACATTGATGATGTTCTCAACATTTCAGGAGCAGCAGGAACGTCCACAAACAGTACCGGTGTGTGCGGATCTCACTGCAGGTGAGTTCATTTCACTGAGTACATTCAAATCTCGTGTTTTTGCAATGGTTTTAGCAATCATTGTTTTCGATGTGGGATAAACAGGTACACAGTGCACCTGATGAAAGTGGATGCTGTGAACTATAGACATCTACATCTATCCTTGATTAAGAATCAAAGTGCGTATGGGTTGTCATCCGTGAGAACTAAGATGGAATACCTTGTTTCCAGTAATAAGGGTCTCCGGTTCTATACACTCACTATACGAAATACATCAACATTAAGCTGCTTTTTAACACTGGTATTCTGTGAGAGCGTGGTCCTTCCCCGGTTGAGCCGACCCATTCATGCTACAACCATAATAGCTCCAGCGTGGCTTTACCACGTATTAATGTGTGTAATACATTGATCATGAGCTGTGGTGACCCTAGTGAGAATACTACGTCATAGTCATGAAGATATTTCTTCCATAAAGTTAGTTATTCAGAGATAATAAATTATAGAAATTATTATGTCTGAAATAATTAACCAAATTCTAACTATATTCTAATTATAAATTAACAAAATTCTGTGACATTCACATACGCTATATGTACCGTGTAGTGACGCTGTAAGACTCCACTATCCACTGCTCCATATCATCCTGTGCGTATCGCAAGCGGTAACGGAGGGAAACAAATGTGCAGATGGGCAGCATCGTCTTCCTAATAACAACTTGAAATAAATAACCGACGTTACCAACCCGCTTGCCAAGCGTGTCATCTCTGTAAAATATAACCCCCTATTAGGCAATCTATGGGGGAGTGCCTGTGTTCAGCAGTGGGTTTAAATAGGCTGTAACGGACCGAAAGTATGTTAAGTGAAGAATGTTCACTAGGGCACACCCGTAACAAGGTGTGTGACAGGTTCTATAATGTGAAAAATATTTTTAACTTCCCGCTAAAAATGGGGAAGTTATTGGTTTCACCCCGATTTTCGAAAATCCAGTTTTCATCAGATCTCGACGTTTTGAGATCCCAGGAAGCTATTCTGACTAATTTCACGTGGACGTCCGTACGGATGTATGTGTGTGTGTGTGTGGTGTGTGTGTGTGTGTGTGTGTGTGTGTGTGTGTGTGTGTGTGTGTGCGCGTGTGCGCGTGCGTGCGGGGGCGCGTGTGCGCGGGTGCGCGTGTGCGCGTGTGCGCGGGTGCGCGTGTGCGCGTGGGCGCGTGTGCGCGAGTGCGCGTGTGCGCGTGTGCGCGTGCGTGTGCGTGTGTGTGTGTGTGTGTGTGTGTGTGTGTGTGTGTTTGTGTGTGTGTGTCTGTAAATATGTAAACCTTTCATAACTTTGAAACGTCTTAATCAATTGAGATGCGGTTTTCTAAAGATTTCAATGTGGAATCGATTTGGTGATAATATTAACTGATTCGGACGACTACATTTTGAGAAATCTCAAAAATAAACATTATAAAAAACTATTTTTTTGGAATAACTTTTAAAACGGCTTACCGATCGATTCCATAAACTAATCGGCTCTTAACCTCAAAAAATTACGTTCAATGCCGTTTGGAAAATTAAAATCGGTTCATTCGTTCGTGAGAAATCGTGGAAGAATATAACTTAGAGATTTCGTAACATAATTTGGTGAAATTTGGAGCGCTTTGCGTTTGAAATTAGCGGGAAGTTCCAGGTATGGCCTGCAGGGTCAACCAATTTTTTTGTCTTATGTTAGGTAAGGCTTATATTTAGTGGTGCCCCAGATAGAGCAAAGTTTTGAAGAAAACTCCGAAACGTGTCAATGTTCGTTAATGCAAAGCTTTATAAAAAATCTTTAAAATTTTTCGTAGGTTACTTTTGAACACTCACAATAATTAGTAAGCGTCTATATAAAAATGATTCAGTTGCTGGTAAGTGTTAAACATGCGAAATACTGTTCTAGTAAATTATTAGGGGTCATATGAATGACGCTGTAAAAAAATTACGAAATTATACTTTTTATCATAATTATTTCGTGCTGGGGAACATGAAAAAATTATTATAGATACAAGATATTTAACATATTCTCTCGTCCAAAGGCCACTTTTACTATTATGCTATTACAAATTTGATGATAAAACAAATCTCCTTATATTTACTCTGTACTAATGTGTATGCTGTATATCATATTATATGTATATTCATAATATAGAGATACATATACGGGTCGAACTAAAATCGTGAGTGCGTCTGCTGATCTCAATTTCTCAACGTCTTGAATGATAGACCTCATAGTCACACAATATATTTATCGAAAGAATGGTTCATGGCTATACCAGGATCCGATAGGCACTGTAATTAAGTTATTGACAAGGGCTTTATTTTATGAACAATAAATACACCGTTGCGTAAATAAATGTTGGTTAATTTACCAAAAACAACAGCGGTCGTGGTGGTTCAGGGGCTAAGTACTCGCTCTATTTCACATTGCGCGTGCTTCCCGGGTTCGATTCCCGCTTCTATCAACGAAATTATTAATTGAATTGAAAGAAAGTAACATTTATTGCAACACGCCACAAACATCATAAGACGCTTAAATTTTATCCTTTGTAGAAACATCAATTAAAAACAGTTTAACAAAGGAGACAATCAATTTTTGTATGGAGAATGGGCCCACCACAAATTTTCGCGTCACGCAATGAAATGTATGTCGATTTATTCCTTATAATTTACAGTTTACAAAAATAATATTAGTTTTACCACATCTAGACGGAAAATCGAGAAATTGACAATTAAAATATGAATTTTAAAATAACCTATAAATAAACTAAAAGCTATTTATAGTGGTTTTTACCGGTATTTTAAGTTAAAATAGTGCACTGTTGAATAATAGTTCATATAAAACCAAGTTGTAGGTACATTCAGCATTTTCAGATACTTCAATATTTTTAGTAGTTACGGCAAAATATAGTGCCTGTCTGTGTACAAATGTGGTATGGATACAATTTTTTACATATATTGATTGTGAGTGTACTTCCCAATTACCGTTAAAATAATATGAATAAATTCAAGATGACTAAGGTATAATATATCCATTTATATTTACAATATTACCAACACACGTTATATAGTAAGAAAGATGTTTTAAACTGACTGTGTAAAAAACAAGTTATAATGCAACCGTATTTATAGATGGTAAATCATCATTTCCAACATAGTCTATATAATTCAGACATATAATTCAGATCTATTTATGCAGACAGACAGACAGGCCCGGTGTCAAGACTTTTTTTAATATGCTTTGGTTGATTATTAAATACCTAATTATACATCTTAAAATGACTGGGTTCTAAAATACCAAAATGACTAGGTAATATCATGCTTATCTGTTATTACACACTGATAAATTGTGAGGAAGTAAGATGTTTTGAACTGTTTGTGCCAGGATAACAAACACACAGGTATAGTTTAATTGTATTTATTATTAGCGATCCGCCCCGACTTCGCACAGGTGATTTCTGGATTTCGACAACAGCGCCACCTACCGAGTCCATATGTGAATATGAATCATATAGAGACCCGTTCAAACACACATAAACATATCATCAAAATCGCTTGGATGGTTTCTAACGGACATAGGTAGAAACATTTTTCGTGTTTTCATATCAAAAGATCATATTAAAAGATTTTTTCAAAATAACTTGATGGTAACATTTCTATTTATGATACGATATTGATATGTAATAAGTCCCAAAGATCATGTATAATCACTGCATTAATTATGGTTAAAATCGTCAGTGTTTTATGAGTCCTCTTTTAAAAATAACACAGCAGACAGGTGCAGTGCCGGCCCTTTGTTCATTAAAGTATTCATCTATTAGCAAGTATAAATCCCATACATCATTAAAATATAATGTCTCGCCCGTTTACGATATTATTAGAAATCAGAAGGATATTGTCAATTAAAAGAGATAAAAAAGGGTGCCAAAGCAATAAATTCAACTTTGCTCGGCGTTTATTTATAAATTACACATATAACATAATATATAACAGATAATAAAGCACACAGTAAAATAGAAATAGTTCAAATAAGCAACAAAAATTACAATTTTTAGTCATCATTATTCATCATCATTACAACAGTCCACTGCCGAACATATGGCTCCTAAATTAAAGATATAATGTAAAATATTACAGAGGCCTTCCGTGAATTGCCATCACGTTCCGTCCCGTATGGTGTCGTTAAAGTCGACAGAATAAAATAAAAATACTAGGAGATGGGGAGCAGCATCTTCCTATAGAATACCACAAAAAACTTTGGTTGCCACAAGTGAAGCAACTATAGCAAAAATGATCATTTATATTACAATATTAATACGCATTAAGATTAATAATCATCATTCATCATTTTCAATATCATTACTTGAAAGTAATATATCATCTAAAAAAAGATGCAGGTGGTTCAACCTCATCTCGATGCCGTGCCCAAGATAGAAACCAGACAACAGACATGACATGTGCACAGCAGCCAACAGTGCGTCTGCCTACCAAACAGTTGCAACAGTACCCAGTAAGAGCAGCCCTAGTGTTAGCAATTGATGGGTTGGTGTCAACTAGTATATAAGTGTAATAAGTTTTTTTACTAGTGTGCCTTGATTGTATCCTACCTCGCAATAGATAACTATTTGGACCAAAATCATGGACAGATTGCAGGTATACCTCGATTTTATATTCTCCAGAAGCCCTGACATGCTCCCCGTAATAACTACGAGCTTGTTTAATTTGATAAATTCCTAGACTAAACAGAATGAGATCCTGGAATGTCAGTTGAGGAAAACTATCCAGCTCTGGAAGATTACCATTAATGCTGGCAAATCGCACTCTCACTCTATTTAAATTGTGCATTTCTACGTAGGAGGCTAAATTATTTGGAGTGTTTAGTTTGGCTTGAGCAATTGCCAATATCTCTACAGCATGAAAATTATTACGAATCAACGTATGAAATCGATTTATTAATGCAGCTGCAATTTTAAAGTATAGCATGAGATGAGTAGATGCAGTATT